TTTTGTGGTTTTAAGCTCTCCCCAAGATGACAACCCCATAACATATCAAAAACCTTATATTTGGACCTGGGCCCCACTCTCAACTTTATTACTTAGTTTTCTCCCAAAAGTATTGCTTAGTTCACTGGTGGCTCACCATTTTGCTATGACACTACTCAACACCACGTCTCTGCCCATTGTCCCTGCCTGCTCAGAATTCAATTTCCAGATTAATCTTCCCAGAAATCAACCTCCATCAAACCATTTTCCTACTCCGAACACACTTTTACAGTCGATTACCTAGACTGATATAATTACAAACTCTTCCCTTGGAAGCTCCATCCCACTAACTCAGTAGTTCTAACTCATTTTTCTCCTTCCACACGTTCACAGAACAATGCATTCCCATCAGTGACATCTCACATTGCCTACGATGGTCCCCAAGCAATAGAGCTGATACATTCGGGGGCACCTCTCAGTCTCCGAGTAGAATAAGGGTAACCCCCTGTCATGCTTACTATGTACTTCGTGATTTAAGATTATGAACATTTAAGAGTATGAACATTATGATTCTACCTAACTGTACTGTGAGGTAGGTGCTGTTACTGTTCCACTTCACAGATGAATAAACTGAGGCACAGAAAGTGTAAGCAGCCTTCCGATGGTCACGTGGTTAGTAAGTTGCAGAGCTAGGATTCAGTCTTAGGTAGTCAGGGTCTCCCATCTACACCCTTAACTCTCTGACATGCTGCCTCTCTCTCTTTGGATTCCTTCCACCCACCACCTGCCACCTCCTTCTCCTGCACGAGAGGCTGAGAATTACTGAGTCCTATCATATTTTCATCAATATCCAAAAAGATCCCATTTTGTATTGAAAGTAGCCTAATCAATCAAGCCTCTAAAGACTTACTTTACTTATCTCCTCTATCATCCTTCTGAGATGATCACTTATATTTTATTACCATAGGCTACTTTTGCTGTCATCAAACTGATGTATGTCACATTTCCCTAACTAGATTGAAAAAAATTTCCAAGACTGAACTTATAATCAATACTGCAAATTGCCCTTCTGATTTCCTCATTTTGGTAACCATCCCTCTAGTCCAAATTGAAATTAACTTTTCTCTTTTCCCCATGCCTAATCCATAGCCACATACAGCCAACTTCTAGATTTTGGTTCTTTTTGCATTCCTGACAGCACTCTTAATTTTCTGCAGTTTTTCTATGTGTACAGTAGAGATGCTGCATCCCTTATCTTGCCCAGAGCAAGCAAGCAATGGTTATTATGTTGCTCAAGATTATCACTTGTTTCCTCAACTAGCAAAAAAGACTTGCCTCTGGTCTTCCAACCTCAAGTCTCTGACTCCGTATGGTCGTCTAAATGCCATCACCATTTTAATCAAGACAAGAACCTCTGTCTTGCTGCATCCTCCACTGTCCCTTCCCTGCCATTTGTCTGCTGATATGAACTCACTCCCCAGATTGGTACCAGAATGTCTACCCATCACACCGTTGGCTTCTCCTTCCAACCTCATTTCCTGTCACTCCACTATATGTTATACCTCCTAAGCAAACCAAACCAAAACTATCCCCATTAAAAGCTCTGGGCCTGGGTTTTTCATGTGTTTAACTAGAAATGCTGTCCCTCACCCCGCCTTCTACTTTTACAACATGACACATTTACGTCACCTTTCTTCTTTCTGTTTTCTTACATTTTTAGGTTCTCAGTAATTTGTTATCTCATTTGGTTTCTTATTTGGTTTCTTATTTGACTAGTTGCCCCATCTTCATTATTGGATTTGAAAATTCCTGAAACAAGAAAATGGACCTTATGTCATTCAGTAATTCTTGCAACATCAGCCAATGCCTTGCAGCTAGTAGATGAAATAAATTTGTGTTCGACTGATATAACGGGTAGTTCCCACTTGATTATATGTAGAAATTATAAGACATTGATCTAATATACTCTAATCCATCAAAAGTAAGTGCCTGAGTTAACAGAAGGCTTCTGGATTCTATTTTTTTAAAGATTTATTTATTTATGCATACAGGAACTGGGGTACAGGCCAGAGGTGTGGGGGTAAGACGATTCACCAGAGACAGAGTGGGGAGCAGAACAGGCAGACTGACTGAAATACACTGCTGAGGGGAGCAGTGGCCAAGTCAGGAGAGGTCTACTGCACCATGTGGGCAGCTCCCTGGTCAGCTAGGGATCGAACTCATGCTGTGCTGCAGTGGCTACTTAATCCCTTGTGCCACCAGAGAGGCCCCAGCCTTCATGATTCTATGCCACAGAAAGACCTGATCAAAAGTGATTAAGTAGCCTCTGGTTTCACTTTCAGAAATACCCAAATCTTGACTCCACATGTATCTGTACTTTCACTTTAACAAACTATCTCTGTGTTTGCATTTGTCCCTCATATCTCCAAAGGGGTTTCCTCACCTGTAAAACCAGGATAATAATACAGAAAGGCCTCACTTAACATCATTGATAGGTTCTTGGAAACCACAACTTTAAGGAAACCACATAGAGGGAATCAGATCCCTACAGTAAGGTTGAATGGTTCTACATTGGCCAGGATTGTTTTTGTCTCATTAATATTCGAACAAAATGATTTTGAGCAATAGGGTGTTGCTTAAGGACCTGCTGTTCATATTTCACAAGATACTTATGGGGACCGAAGGAAATTTAGATCAAATTTGGTAATAGTTCTAAAATTCTGACTGCTGCATGCATTTTGAAAATGTCTTCAGTCCCGTTCTCCTGTCATGGATGAAGGGACTGTAACTAGAGTTGTCCACTCGAGTGGGTGGACACAGAACAGAGAGCCCGTAGCATGGTCTGTGAGGGAGTGTGCATGGGGAGGAGACACACATAAACCATTGACCTTAGGCATATGAGGAGGCTCTGAGACTAACAGTCTCTCTCTCTTTTGTAAAAAGAAAAAATTGGAAAATGTTAGCAGAATAAAGCCCGTTTATTTTCTAGAATTCTGCTGAAGGTAACCAGAAGCACTGAGATTGAAATAAGAACAGGCTTCTGTGTGTTTTTGCTCTTCAGTGATGTCTCTAGAAACCACCTCAAAGCTCCCCCACATCCCTTAAAAAACAAACCTGGTCAAAACTGCCTGCAAATGAGCAGCACTGAGACTAGCTGGTGGTGGGAAGCGGCAGGGTCTGAAGCTAATATCTGCCATTTTTTTTCCCACCTACACAGTCTCTAAAACAGTCTTTGTGTTAGAAGAAGTGGCAAAAATAAGGGGATGAGAACATATTCACTTGAGCAGCACTACAGTAGAAATACTGTTCGCTCTAGGAACGTGATAGGTTCAAATTTGTTTGAATTCAGCCTTTTTTCACTTTCCCATTTTTCATTGCTTTCTCATTTTTCTTTCTCCTGCTCGCTTGCTTTACCTTCTCCTTTCTTGGCAACCCTTTCAACACCGTTTCTAGCAGCAGGGCTTTTAAATGTATAGTGTTAATTAAGTGAAGGAAGGAGGTCAGTCTGAATCAATGACAAGCTGGAGAAATAAGCAATTTTTAAGGAAATGAAATTTTATTACTCTTAGGAATCTACTAAAACTCCTGAAAGCAGTAATGGAGCCATATCACTTAGGAAATGGAGAGTTGTTTTATCTTCTGCAGAAGCACATATTGCACATTTACTATTTGAAATAAAGTGTGTGGGTTTTTGCCTCTTTTTTTATTTTTTATTTATTTTTAGCTAAAGACCCTTACCCTTTAAATAGTGTGGTATTTCCTTCTCTACAAATTTTGCTTGGCAAACATTTTTTTTTTATTTGCATGTTGCAGATATTGAGATATAAATGCAGACCTCAGTTGTTTAAAACCGGGTGCTAATGAGGTCAAGACCACACACTAAATCTCCGTACCTGCCAGTTCTCTCTATCGTGTGGCCACAAGTGTGTGAACAGCAAGCTCTAGTCATAAGCAGCACTGGGGGAGAGGATGCGGGTGCATCCGTGCAGCAGGCCTCCTGGTACTTGGGGAACACCTCTCTTTTCACCAGCTGTGCCCGTGGTCAGTAGCTTCATGTTTTTGTTTTTTTTTGTGTATGAGCATCAGTTTCCTTAGAATCTTCAAGATAATTTTAGCATCATCCTTGCTCTAATCATTTATCCATTTGATGTCAATTTGCTGCTATGTGAGAGTAGTACTTAAACTCCATGAACATTTTCTGTTTTCATAGACCTTTTTTGCCGTGTATATTTACATCCTCCTTGTTAAAGCTGACGATACTGTGTGAGCTCAGAAGATTGCTTCGGAACGCTAAAGGAAAAATAATAGTCTAGCTCATGAGTGATTTTTACAAAGTTCGTGCCAACTCAGAGAGGGCTTTTTTGCTTGATTAAAATGTTTTTCTAAATTAAATTAAAATGCAAATATAGACAGTCTGTGTTTATGGTTACAGTAGAATTATTTAAATGTTTTAAATCAACCTGACGTTAATTTTTCATGTAGGAACTGTCGGCCATTGTTGCCACATTGCATTTTCAATATTACTTAAAATATTATGAAATCTTAGCCACACTGCTGAGGTTTTACCAGTTTTTGCCCACTTTTCTCTAGGACATTAAAACAGGCAGATTGTCTATATACTTCATAAGTTATGTCAGAGATGTTGGAGAAAAATCAGGTACTAAAACTTTAGAACACCTTAAAATTGAGTTATGAACAACTTACTATTTGCTTTAAGGAAATACATTATTACACGGAATTGAACCAATTCTTAAATTTAAGAGACCCATATTTTATAATTTATTATGAAATTAAAGATCTGGAAAAGTCATTCAAGAAACTTTTTAGTCCAACCATTTAGTTGATATTTGAAATAAAAATATTTGTATTAAAATTGTATCTAATGCTACAGATTTAATTATGATCCTTTTAGTATTCTTTTGGCTTTTTTTAAAGAAGTGTGCTACCCTTTCTCAAATATATTGATGAAATAATTTTGTATATTAAATTGCATCATCTTTTTCCTTTTCTTTCATTTGTAGTGATCTCAGTGAAAACCAAATACAGGCAATTCCAAGGAAGGCATTCCGTGGGGCGGTGGACATTAAAAACCTGTAAGTATTTTTATTTGATTTAAAATGGTGTTTAGAAGTTATTCATTTTCAAAGTAAATTTATATTAAATAAGGTGTCATGAAAAATGTTGAAAGCCTAGATAATTTTACACTCGGTTAGGAGAGCTTATTAACAATAAATTTTAAATTGCTTCCTGAGCTATCTAAAGAGATTCTCATTTAGAAGATGTTTTGGAACTTAGTTGGAACTTATCAAATGCATTCTTTAAACCTTGTGATTAATTTTGGGAAATCTAAGGAAAGGATTTGATTAGAAGGAATTTACTGTGCATTTTCTTCCTTTTAACTGCCAGCTTGCTTTAATAACTCTTCAGTTGTTATCAGTGTTTGTTGGAAATGGAGAATATAAACTTTTCTTCTGGAAAAAGGAGATAATATTTTCTTGTTTAAGATACCTGTAGCCCAGAGCCACCACTTTTTTAAAAATAGGCTTTAGATCACTATTTTAATTAATAGCCATATATGTGAGGGCCTCCCCTGGTGGCGCAGCGGTTGAGCACTGGGCAGCGGGGCTGCCTTCAGTCTCTGCAGAGCCGGTTCATTCCCCGGCCGGCCGCTGGAGAGGGTCCCACAAAAAAAAAAAAAAAAAGAACCATATGTGTGAGAATTAAAAAAAAGTATTTTTTCTTTGTGTAAGTAGTTTTTCTTACATTTTTCTCCTTTTACTTTTGTGAAAAAATATTTCACCTTTTTTATAAAGAAAAAGAAGAAAAATAAAGCTTTTTTTGTATATTCCCTTGATAAATTTTTAATCTGATATCTTTTATAGATTGTGTGTTTTTTATGTGCTCGTAGCCCTAATAATCTCAGTGGCAATCCTAATATTGTTAATGTACACTCTTTTATATTTTAAATCATAATATTAGCTTTTGAAAATAATGGGTTTTGATTATGAGTACAGGAACAGAATATTTTCCTTACTTTTACATTCACTGGACCCTACGGAGGAAGATGGTCTGTGTGCTGAGATTAACGGTCAGGAATTCAATATTTCTTAGCAGGTCAAAAGCCAGGCAGGCACATTTTTAAGAAGTAACTTATATTCCGAATTCTCCATGGTGAGAAGAACATTACTTTTTCCAGTAGTGAAAGTGACACAGATGTTTTCCCTCGTCAAAGACAGTGATTCACAACACAGCAGCTTCTGACTGTTGTAAACGTGTACTTTCTAAATGTACAAGTAGGGGCAGAAAAAGACACTTTCAGGTATAAATATGTAGAGCCATTCACTTCCTGGCCCAAAGTGTTTACAAGCGCTCACATATCATAAAAGCATTGTATTCGCTTTCATGTTATCTTCTCTAGGGAGGGCGTGGAGAGGTTCTCAGGTAGATTCTGGGAGGTGGAGGGTGTTCTAACTGCCTTTCTGCATGGCGTGTGGACAGAACAATATGATGATCTCTGTATCGATAGCCTCTGTGTGGGGGACATCGAGGTAACACATCCTCAGGTCCCCTTCATGTCATGTCACTGTCAAATGTCAAAGGGCAGTGCTGGCTCCAGTTGACCCCCTATGGGAATGCCATTTGCAACCTTAAGATAGCATTCTCTCTAAATCCCCCAAACAGGTGGCTTTCAATCTTCTTAGTAAAAGCATTCAGGGAATCCAAGTCCATATGCAATCCATAGTTAAGTACACTTTTAGGAGTGAGCTGCTGGTCATGGTGGAATTCTTTTCCTCTTCCAGTATGCTTTAAAAATGTGGTTTTACAAACAATTATAAACCAGAGACATCCTGCAGGGGAGGAGGGGGGAGAGGGATCAGAGGGAGGGAGGGGCTGGTGGAGCACAGGGGACTGTGGTGATGGTGCACGGGTGAATTGGTGAAGGAAATTCTATGGGGAGAACTTCCCATTCTTTGCCCCTGGAGGGGGGGGTGTGGAGCAAACATTGTTTCAAAATGAACAGATATAGAATATATATAAATTAAAAAAATTGAAATGTGGCTTTAAAACTGCAGATAAAAGGAAAAGTGAAATGCTAGCCAGCATGCAAGGTTGACTTAGCAGAATTTTAGAAAATCTCTTTTCCCCACATGTATCATTTTCTCCCTCAAATACAAAGGCATTTCCTATATATATGGTGATCAGAGTTTAGGACTGGAATCTCAGGGTATTTAGTTATAGATTTATAGATATGACAAATCAGTAAAGTCACCTTGACTGAGTTTTCACTCTTCTAAAATGAATTTAATAATTGTTTGGAATAGGGAGGTTATGAGGGAAGATCTGTGAGAGACCTTTTACAATATTAAAATGCAATGAAATGGAGTGTACAGTTTCCCAGGGCAAGTAATCAGTAGTCAGTGCTATAAGTTAGCACTGAAAAAGGCACAGAAGGGAGACAGAAAAGTTGAACATTAATAAGGCATCATTGCAATGAGTAAGTTAGACCCAAGTCTTTGATGGGTTGGTTCAGCATATAGCTAAAAGAAAAAAGAGAAAATATATCAGAAAGCACTGAATGAACATACATAAGACAGTGATTTATAAACAAGCTATTAAATGTTCTAGGTGCTGAGAAAAAAAGAAAGAAAAATATTATATGACATTATCAGAGAATGCTATAAAAATAAGTTTCTGAAAAAAATACAAAGAAATCTTTGAGGAGATTGGTGCATATTGTGTATTGACAAGTGGCAGATAAGGGTGGATTGAAAAGTTAGAACTTTTTAAGAGGCCTAATTTCAGGGTTTTGACTGGTTTGGAGGATTAAAACAGTTTTTAGTGCAGTTTTTTTTTGGGGGGGGCTGTAAGGAATTGAATGGTGCCCCCTTTTTAAAGGTGAAGCTGTACTATCTGGATTACAGCAGTGTTAAGAAGCATGGCAATCCAAATTTGGATTTGAAGCAAACTAAATATAGTGGCATCCAACTTGGGAGGTTTATGTTCCCAGGGAAGAAAAGGGCTAGTTAAAGAGGACATGGGATACTGGATATTGATGGTAAAAGAACAATTCATTCCCATTATTCTGTCTGCCTTTCACACCAAAGCCCAGGAGAGCAACATTGAACTATCCCAGTGTATATATATCTTTATTTAATTAATGATCATAGTTGCAATTTTATAGAATTTTACAGTTGCAGTGCATTTTTCCATCATTAAAAATTGTTCAAACTACATGGTTTTAAAGAGTTCATTTTCCTGAGACTTTGGATGGAGTTTTATCATTGAAAGTTTAGAAACATATCGAGTAAAATATAGTTAGAGCTGAGGGTAGATTTTAATTCTTAGTATTATCAAAATAGTAACCATCAGTCAAGTAATAACTTAATAAATTAAGCCCATAAATATAGACATATAGACATTAACATTTTTAATATTCAGTGCGGGAAGAAGTACTTTGTCCTATATGCTGTGAACGTGAATTTGCAATTTTGACTGCCCTGCTTGACAGGACAACTACTGTTCTGAGTCACTCAGAGAGGAAAAGAGAAAAAAAAAGAGGGCTTTCCAGAACGAATATGGACTTCAGGTGCCTCCCACAGTATTTTTTCAGCATGGTCAGAAGGGACAGTTGGAGGCCGTGCAAGAGCCTGACTGTTTTTGCTATATTCCGGCCTCTTCAAAGCAAATTCGTTATCAGAGGGTTGTCACTGGAAGCGGTTGCTTTAATCATGTGGATTGACTGAATAGGCTCAAGGCAGCCTCCTGACAATAAGAAATTGATGCTGTAAAAATTTTGCAAATTAGCACATCTTCTTCCCCTTCCTCTAGGCAAAGACGCACTCAAACTGTTCTAGACAGATGGACATTTGTCTTGCATTTAACCATCTCCAGGGAGGACTTCTCATAACTTTTTTTGCTTATCTCTATTAATTTCTTAACTGAGTTAAAGCCCTTCATATTTTATTTTATTACCGAAACCCGCTGCAACTTAAACTACTTTATTTTCCTGACATTTTAGATGGTGAGCTCTGAGAATAATAAGAGTGTATTAAGATATCAAACTAAATGATAGTGCTTGTAATAGTCAGTGGCGGCAGTTTTTCATAAGATTCACATCTGTGTTTTTGTAATCCTCAATCAAGTATGAATTAAAGTATTGATACCATATCATTAGTAACCATCGCCTCGCCATGATGATAATGAGTGTTTACGGGGCTTTTCTTATAAACCTTGACTATATGTTTAGTATTTTTAACACTGGTGCAGTAAAGCTTTGGCTGCCTCTGATCAAATCGTGAACAGAGACAAACCACCTTGTGCCTCTTTGGTTTACAAGTATCTCCATGGTGTTCTATTTAATTGAATAATACAGAAGAATTTTCAAATTAAATCTTGCTTTGTTGTTGAGAATTGTGAGTTTATTCTCCAAGCATGTACATTATGAGTATAAAATTTTCTTAGAAATCTCTTATTTTAATGAAACTACTTTCCTAGTTATAGTTCTTCCAGATTTAAGCAAAACAAGTGCACATATATGTGAACTTAAACATTAAATAATGACTTATTCACAGCACAAAAACTCATGCACTTGACTGGTAATTTCCTTTGTGAGTTTAATATGAATACTTAAATTCCAACAAGCTTTATTTTAGGTATACTGTATTAAAGTAAACCACACCTGCCTTTTTTCTTCTTTGCAGTACAGCCTCAAAGTGTAGTCTTCTTATTAAAGATTTATTTATTTATTTATGAATAGAAGAACTGGTGTAAGCCAGAGGTATGGGGTGTGAGAGGATTCACCAGAGACAGAGTGGGGGGCAGAACAAGCAGATCTGCTGAAAAACACTGCTGAGGGGAGCAGCCGGCGAGACAGGAGAGGTCAGGAGAGGTCTGACGCGCCATGTGGATCAGCTCTCTGGCTGGGGATCTAACTCAGGCCATAACAGTTATAGTGCTGAGACTAAATATCCACTTTATATTTGCTTGCATTGTGTCAGTTCCATTAACTTTACATCTATAATGAGTCTTACTCTCCTTTTCTAAGAAAATTGCTTAGGGGAAAAAATAGGTTAGGGAAAATACTTATATTTAT